TGATATGGGGATCAATATCCAGTCTTAAAATAAACCAATCAGAATCGGTCGACGTAAAATAACGCCCACTATTATATTGATTATGATTATAGACTAATTGACATAACCTTGGTGATATTTTAAATCATACGTATTGTGTAAATATACCTACTTTCCATCTCCTCTTTGTGTAGTGTCGCTGAAGTTGCGGGTTGACATATCGGTTAGCTGTTGTATACGCGGTTGGCGTAGATTAGCAATACGCATGATTACCGAGTCTATTTCTAGCTCGGTGTGTCTGTTTCAACTCAACGTTTTTCAAAACATCCAGTGCCAATCACCGTCAACGGGAGGGATTTGAAAGAGGTTACTTCATTCACTTATCTAGGGAGCATTGTCTCAACTACAGGAGGAACGGACGAGGAGGATGTCAAATCGAGAATCGGGAAGGCGAGAAACACATTCATCAACCTGAAACCAATCTGGAAATCTTCGTCACTCAGCATCAACAACAAAATGATTCGGATTTTCAATACAAACGTCAAGTCAGTCAGTTCTTCTATACGGATCAGAAAGTTGGCGGGTCACAAAGAATATTTCCAACAGGTTGCAGGGTGACCTTTATCAACAGCTGTTTTCGCTCTGTACTGAAGATCAGATGGCCTAAAAGAATCACCAACAACAAACTATGGGAACAAACAAAACAAGAACCAATCGCCCAACAAATATGCAGGAGAAAGTGGAGATGGATTAGACACTCGTTGAGGAGGCCGCTGGGTGACATCGCGCGTCAGGCCAACGCTCGAGTGGAACCGGAAAGGGAAGCAGCCAGTGGTTCGTCGGTGCAAGGGTGACATGGAGGAGATCGTGTGAAGAGGAGTTGAAACAGTATGGACTAACATGGATGCAAGTGAAAAGTACAGCAGAAGACAGAAGCAAGTGGAGACGTGTGGTTGAAGCCCTATGTTCCACTAGGAACCTCAGGGAACAATAATAATAATATAAGACCGTTGAGTGAAATCAGGGAGTCTCTCGAGTAGAACCAAAATAAGAAATGACGAATTAGGGGTCCCAGGGTGACACTGAGGAGATAAAAGCTAACAAACAACCGTAGAGCCAAATAAAATGGACTACACAGCAGAATGAAGTTGAAATGAGCTGTTACTGAAGCCCAATGTTCCAGTCAGAACCTGAAGGGATAACAAAAATACTGTAAAATATATCCACCTCTATTATTTTGTAACTCTATATGCCACTGGGACTCGATTCAATGGCTCATGAATTCTAACTTCCAACAGTTCGTGATTTAGCGCGACCCAGTGGCTGAGTGGTATACGAGCTAGCTTACCTTGTAACCGGAAGGTCCTGGGTTCGAACCCCCTGTGGGGTGGGTGCGTACTGCCGATGATTCCCAAACTATGATGAAACAGCAGCTGTCCAGTACTCCCTGCTTGTTTTCAATGGTTCCCTAACTGATATCAATCCATGACCAACTCGTAAAAAACAAAACTGACCCTTACAAACCAAACTATCGAAAATTTCCATTGTAACATTAACAACACAATATTCAGCAAACTGACTCTTTTCAACGAATTTATCATCAAGCTGTACAATCATATATATATATATATATATATATATATATATGGCTTTTAAGGAATTATACCCGGTGAGGGAATTAGATCAAAGGTGTCAATACATGAAATAATAGTATGAAATGCGATTAAAACTAAAATGTTTGTGATTATACTCATAGTCAAATGTCACGTGGCAAAACAATTAATGTCATATATACAGTAATTCATGAGACGTACAGAACTTGGAAGAGGTGTGCAATTACAGGATTAGTAGGCGAATATAAAACGTTACGTAACATGGTGTGAAATTTGATAAGATAGAATTCAATATTGTAAAAACAATAATTTTGGATTTACAATGACAAGTGGAAACAATTGACGGTGAGAATAGTAATAATAATATCAATAATCGTAGTAATGAGAGAAAGGTACATAAATTAAATAAATAGACAAAATAAATAAATAAATGTATTCGAACAAAGCGAGAACTACAGTTTTTGCAGAATAAAGTGGTACCATCTTTTATTTCTTTACCATCTCGTCAGTTCATCTGCTTACAGGCCAAAGACATTATTAAATGTATCTACAAAAGCAATTTTAACATACTTGCACAGAGTTCATTTTAAACAAAAATCAATCGATCAATATACGCATACACTAATAATATATACATGTATATATGCAATATTAAACACTATTCCGAACAATAATAATCATACACAATGGAAACTTTTCAGCATTACGCATTCAGATGAAAATATCCAGTTACCAGGGCAAAGAAAGACTGATAACCGCTTCTTTCTGGACGCATAAATCAGGTTTCAGGCGCTTGATGGAGATGGCTTCAGCAAACTTGAGGAGAATTGAGCTCTTTTGCCTGTTGATAATTTTGAACGACTTTTCGACGTCCACCTCATGACCCGTGTCAAGGAGATGCCTGACGATGGCACTGTTTAAAGCATTTTTCCCTTTAGACATAAGCTTTTTGATACATGTTCAGAAAATCGTAGATATGCCCTTCTTTCTCTTCTTCCAATGTAACTGCTCCCACAGATGCATGTAAATTTGTATATACAGTTGGAGTTAACATGAGAAGGATATCCTTGACAAGGGTCATGAGGTGGACGTCGAAAAGTCGTTCAAAATTATCAATAGGCAAAAGAGCTCAATTCTCCTCAAGTTTGCTGAAGCCATCTCCATCAAGCGTCTGAAACCTGATTTATGCGTCCAGAAAGGAGCGGTTATCAGTCTTTCTTTGCCCTGGTAACTGGATATTTTCATCTGAATGCGTAATGCTGAAAAGTTTCCATTGTGTATGATTATTATTGTTCGGAATAGTGTTTAATATTGCATATATACATGTATATATTATTAGTGTATGCGTATATTGATCGATTGATTTTTGTTTAAAATGAACTCTGTGCAAGTATGTTAAAATTGCTTTTGTAGATACATTTAATAATGTCTTTGGCCTGTAAGCAGATGAACTGACGAGAAGGCAACGAAATAAAAGATGGTACCACTTTATTCTGCAAAAACTGTAGTTCTTGCTTTGTTCAAATTCATTAAGGGGAATAAATGTATGAAATAAATGTATATTCCTCTACGGCCAAGGCAGAAGTAGAGATTGTACATACTTCCTTTCTAAGCAAAGGTCTGCCTGACTTAAATTCATGAATGGTCAAGGCCTCCGCTGTCTTTAAAAGTTTATAACGATTGTATTTGATCAATAACACTCATATCATTATTTCTGAATGCACATTATCCTATATTGATTTTTATTCAAATGTTTAATCAATTCCAAACATGTATATAAATGAAGTAAGAGGTTGTGTGAGTAACTTGATATGATTATGAGCGATAGTTTGTGCTCGAAACGTGGTCATCAGTTAATATTACTGTATAACAACACTGTGTGATTTATCAAAATAAAAATTTTATCCATAATGGAGTTATATTCAACCACCACAGTGCCCAAGTTCTATACTTATATCAATAAAAACACGGCAAGTTGGCGAGAATTCGATAGATGCTCTTAAAATCATGGTTAGGGTTGGCAGAGTGACAGGAGTCGATCAAGTGTTCTAGAATAGATCTTCGCACACTCTTCCTTTCTCTCTTGTAAAACCATCCAGCTGGAATATGTTCTTGCATCCGCGTGGAAAGCGTCCTCTGGCTACGGCCAATGTACCTTGCTCCACAAGAGCAGGTGAACTGATAGATGCACATGGAGGCGGCCAGACGAGGGAGCTTATCTTTAATAGAGGTAGAGAACAACTTGAGGCAAGTGAACGTTATTTGTAATTTTGCTGCAAAGAACATCTTAATGACTGATTTAGAGAGACGGTTTTTGAGCATATCTGAAGCTTGATCACCTTAGAATTCCAAGTTCATGAAAAAGATCTTCTTTGGAACTGAGTCGGTGATCAGTCTGGACTGCTTATCTTTCGTGTTTCTGACGATAAACCGATTCCAGTAATCGATCTATCTTATTAAATCTCACACCATGTTATGTAACGTCTTATATTAGCCTAATAACCCTATATTGGCAGGAAGAAATGGAGATGGATTGGCTGGCCATACTCTGAGGAAACCATCAAGTGACATCACTAGACAAGCCATTGCTCGAGTGGAACCCGAAAGGGAAGCGGCGAGTTGGTCATCAGTGCAAGGGTGACTTGGAGGAGGTCATTTGAAGAGGAGATGAAAGAATGTGGGCAGACTCGGAGCCAGGTGAAAACTTTAGCAGAGAACCGAACGCAATGGAGACGTGCGTGGCTGAAGCCCTATGTTCCTGTAGGAATTAAAGGAAATAATAATAATAACCCTATAACTATACACCCCTTTCCAACATCTATACGTCTTATGAATTATTCCATATTTGACACTTTGTTTTGCTACTTGACATTTAACTATGATTATAATCACAAAATATTTTAATTGCATTTCATACTACCATTATTATTATTGCATGTACTCACACCTTTGATACAGTTCCCTCACTGGTTATAATTTCTTAACATAAAACAACGTATATATACGACTGTACAGCTTGATAATAAATTCGTTGAAAAGAGTCATTTCACCGAATATTGTGTTTGTACATAAATATTTACACAGTGTGTCCGAATGACCTTGGACATTTGTGATAGGGCTTGCATATATTCGATATGTTTATATCTTCACTCTGATTGGTTGTAACATTCTCCTCCGGGCTAAATAGTGTTTGTTAGCCAATAAAAATCAAGCTGGCAAGTATCCAATGGCAATAACGCGAGGTATCATTTTAAATTCAATCAATTTTGCACTTTTGATACATTTGCGTAAAATACATATGCGTCTGACCACAGGATATTTTCATGTATTTTCAATGACTAAAACCTGGCAATTATGTTTTACCAATATTTTATTATCATTACTATTATTTTTCTCATTTCATATCAGTCAATTCGAAGGGAAAACATTTGTCTACAAATATACAACAAATCTATCCGAAAATTCCTATAAACAAGTAATATTAGATGTATTGTCAGGAAGCGTATACATTACGCCAATAATATTGAACGAATTCAATGAAAAAGTGGATGCAATAAACAAAAGTCTATGGTATGTAACATTGAACATTGATAAACAAACATCTACGGAAGGAATTACATTAAACTCACTAGTTTTATTTAATTCTAATGGTTTAATTGATCGAATATTTATTTCTCGATCAACCTTAAAGAAAGGTATTATTGAAATTAATCTATTCAAAGGATTATTAAGTCTATTTAATGTACATAATAAATTTGAAGCAGGTATTGAGATAGATAGTTCAGGAAAATGTCAAGTAACTTATGCTACTACTAGTGCAGTTGCAGTCGCAGACAAATCGCCCACTACTCCTACATCGGATAATATCATTATTATTGATAAAGAAAAGACGTTGTGTGAACGATTACAAAAACCAATTGATGTATGGAATGAAAATTCACTACCGCTATTTAATTTCAAAGAATCTAGACAGATCTTAACACGTTATAAATGTGATAGGTTGACACATCAAATTCTTGAAGTCTACGCTTATGAAAAACAACTTCATGCATTTATTGATGATTTATCTGAGGCGAATTATAAAGAATATCAACAATTGATCAATTCTACTGGGGTGAATTTAATTTCATGGCAAGAATTAAAGTTTATCGAGGAAACGATACATCAAGATGATAGAATTCAGAAAATTGTTGAAAAACATTATGATTTCACTTTGGATGAGGTACGTATTATTGTTACTGTTATTATTATTATTCCTCTTGGGTTCCGAGTGGAACATACAGCTTCAAAAGTACACCTCCATTTCACGTCTTCTTCAGCTGGCTGCACATTTGCTCATAAGCTTTTATTTCCTACCCACATGATGGCTAACTCGCCATTGAGGCTTCACTCATCGGTCTCCTCAGTTTATGTCAAGTCCACCTCCATTTCTTTTTGCATAAATGTTGAACAATTTGCGCTTGGCTGGTTCATTACTAGAGTTCTGCAGTTGCTGAGCCTTTTTAGCCATCTGTGATTCTGAAAATTCATGTCGTCTTCATGGTACTGGATGCATTAATGAGAAGTTTTTCTTTTTTTAATGTCAGTAAAACGTTTGACCATTGTGGAATAGATCAAATAAAGTATAATTATATTTCAGGCAAAGTTCAACAATAGCGTTCCAGGAGTGTGAACGCCCCAATGGCCCTGAACGCATGCTAGCCATTGGCTAACGGCACCTGTCATTATATCATAGCTGAAATATCAACGCTATTCACCAACTTAGGAGCAAATTTCACCCAGATCACGTTTTGAAGTACTGTTTGGACAATGTGTTAATAGCTCGTTAAGGTTAGAATTACGGCTTGGATTAAGCTTATGGTTACGATTAGGGATAGATTTATAGTTGATGTCATTTATTTTAATTTGTTTTATTATCCACGTTTTCCTGGTAGGTAGTCGTCTATCCGCTTGCTGGAAATCATATTAATTCAACCGAGGGCTTTTATGGAAGACTGCAAGCAGAATGAGAGAGATAAACGGTTCACAACTGACACTCCTCATTATAACTAGGAGGTATTTTTAAGCCATGTCAGAGAAAGATAACCTGTTTAATAATGTATTTTCATGCATTTTCTTGTCAATATATATCATTTTTTGAGCAAACATTCCTCACTTTTATGATTGGTCAGCTGAAGGTCACTCGTGCGTACGCGCTCCTGGGACGCTATGGTTGAACTGCGACATATTTCAAAGGTATACACACAATGATAAGTTTTGTTATAGAATTATTTCGAGCAAAATTGCCGCCCATGTTCACACCACTGTTGGAATTGTTTTGTGCACACAGTTCACACACATATATTCATTGTTCCAATCGATATTGTGGTTTTTGTCCCATGCATGTGCAGCTATCGATGAATTTTTTTCTAAATTCTTGTTAACTTGTGTTCCTTTTGGTTGACCTTTAGTTAGGCGTTTATGTTCATGACATGGTGGAAGAATGCAAAAAACAGTCACAATACCATACAAAAGTGGTACACCAAAGGCAATTCGAAGAAACCTCAAAGATATTGGGATTCACACAATGTTTAAACCGACAAATCTAATCAAAAATAAAATAAATCAACTGAAAGATCCCATAAAAATGATGGATAAAAACAACTTGATTTACAAAATATCTTGTGCTGACTGTCCGACTAAATATGTGGGGCAAACGTCCAGATCACTCAAAATAAGAGTGAATGAGCATAAACGGCTAACCAAAGGTCAATCAACAGGAACACAAGCCTACAAAAATCTTGAAAAAACATTCATCTATAGCTGCACATGCATGGGACAAAAACCACAATATCGATTGGAACAAAGTAAGTATTCTAAATATGAACTAATATGAACAAATGGGTAGAGAGACAACTAATAACAGAATCTGTATTCATTAAGGTCACACTGAATACATGTAACAAGGGTGACTCGGCAGCACAACTGTCAACAACCTGGAATATAATTCTGAATACACAAAAGTGAATGAACAAAAAAATGAGGTATATATATGAGTACAAATCATAAATGTGTAAACAAAACAATTCCAACAGTTGGTGTGTGATCACGGGCAGTAATTTTGCTCGAAATATTACCAACAACAAAACTTATCGTTGTGTGTAAACCATTGAAATATAATTATACTTTATTTTTCTTTATTCCTTTACGTTCCCAGTGGAACATAGGGTTCCGACCTAGAGACTTGAAGTTTCGGTAGCAGTGGTGAGGTTAAGGAGTGCATCCGCCGGGGATCGAACCCCGGACCACATGTGTGGTCGGCGAGTAATCTACTGCTGTGCCACCGACGCTTTATGAGTAGTACAGTGTGAGTGCTAAGAAAGTTATACCATAGAACTTTAGGCAAGACAAGGAAATCAGTAAGAGTCATGGGTTATGCCTAGCCTACCCTGATACATTGTTAAGTACAAAGAAGAAGTAGAGTGGATAAAAGCAAGGGATAAACAAATTATGTCGTAATAATTCCATTTTAGGTTAACTCTTTTTCATCTTTCGGTACCAGAAACAGAAGGAGCATTAGTGTTAAATGACCTTAGAGCCTGGGCGACAAGTGCTTGAAGCCGGTTATGCACGCCGCCTGTTCGAAGCGGTTTTGTCGTGTTGTGTCCATATTAAGGTCATACCATCGGCTAAGGACCGCCTCAAAGTAAGGCAGGATGTACGATTTTCTAGGCTGACCTTTTCTAATATTCCCTCTACATAATGTAGTGGCTGCATAGCTAGCTAGCTGGCATTCTGATCATCTGGGAGTAAAACCTTACTGCTGTTACATTCCTATTCGACAGTAGAATGACTTGGCACTCAGACTGCATAGTGCAAATAACTTAAACTATGATGGTAACCAGCCGTACGAAAGACTGTTGTGGCATGATAGCATGATAGCGAAAATATTCATTCAGATATCTATAAAAAGACAAAATAATTGAGCAAAGAATATCCTTTTCGATAAGTTCTTCTTCTGGCTCTACAATTATATACATATGTTTAGATTAGTAGTCAATTTCAATATTAGAGTTTTTTTAAATAATATCTATTTGTTAAGTAAGATCGCAGTGGAATTACAGTTTATTAAAGATGCTTAAATTATGATAATAATAAAAATATAATAGCAAATAGAATATCAACTAAAATTGAGGGAATTTCCACAAAAATTGAAGATCATTCGAACCTAGACGGCCGAGGTAAGGACGATGTCTGAACTAGCTTCTTTTGGACGCATAAATTAGGCTTCTTAATACGGCTCCCACCGGCCTCAGCAATATTTAGTAAACGAACTGTTAAGGCGAAGTTAAGATTTGTTGGTATGCGGTAGATGACTTTGAAATTCTGGTTAACATCATTTTTGTGTTGTGTATCCACAAGATGAGTGAGATAGAATAGCGCTACGAATAGATTTTGTTTGTCCTTTACTTAACCACTATGCAGGGTGGTGATGTTCGGAAATCTGACGAGAAACACGCCTAATTGTACGATCTATGCGACTAACTGGCTCCACAGGAGCAGTTAAGTTGGTAGATACACATGGAAGAGACGAAATTAGGCAGTTTACCTTTTACTCCCGAACGAAAAATATGGGGGGGGGGTTGAAGACATAGCGTAATTCAGCAGCAGCCAATATAGCTCGTTGAATCATTGCGGTGTTCAAGTCAAACCACTCCACCAAGATAGCATTTGTCTACCGGGGGCTTCCTTTTTTAAGTTTGTCAATTGAATTCATTCCATACACATCTACCTTTACTTAACTATAAACCACATATTTATTGTATGTAGCATTTTGTTGTGTTGATCATAGAAAAAGGTTAGGCAAAGTTAAACTATAGCTGTCACCCCGTCACATAGCCTTTGACGATTGATTGGAGTTACATGTGACCGACTGACTGACTTGTTTCAAAGTAGAACTTTGCATAGATGTGCAGGAGTTCCAGTTACCACACTCCCTGCATGTACCACACGAACCAAGAGAAGAGAGTAAAACATTCAAAAGAGAGATAATAAAATGAAGTGTGAGTAAGGGAAAAAGAATAGTAATATGGAAGAACAATAGGATTTTATTGGATATTATAAATCATAAAGAGTGAATGGATCTGCGCCATTCACAAAGAGGATTTTGAGCCATATCACCAATTGTCTTCAGCCGTCATTGGTTTTTACCATCCTGGGGACACCAACCAGGAAGTTTACGTTTACGGGTAAAAGTGTGTAGTTCATTGCTCGAGAAAATGGGTATTTTATGTTGCATTTTGCCTGCCTTCTGCCCACAAGTCATCCAACCAAACTTTTCGACTTCTGTAGGCTTTCTTCACTTTTCTCAAGTGCCCATGTAAGTTTTATTCACTGCCTTCACGTGGTAGCAGTGATCCTTACAAAACTGGAAGGACGAATATAAACGTCTCTTGCACTTATAACTGGACTGACAGATGGGCATACTGGTCTACACCTAGGCGAGCTGGAAAACCCTAATTTTTTTATCGACGGAATTTGTTACATAAGGTGTAATAGAGAAGTGGTTGACATTTCACACAATTTATTTTACTCTTGTGTAGTGTATTGAGTTTATTGCTTTTAAAAATTTGTGCTTTTTTGTTGTTGTATCTCTATAAAACACTGATACTGAATAAAAATGATTCGGATAAGTTATATTATCTGATAGATTTTAATCAAAAACACTCACTGGAAGTAGTATTTAGATGGCTGGAGGCAGTCAACAAGAAGCCTTGGACCAAGGAAAATCTAAGACAGGAAGTGAGACATATAAGAGAAGCCTTGGAACTTAAGCGTCCGACAATCATTATATTTCTTGACCTAAAGGCGGCATTCGATTCTGTCGACCGGGAGGTTCTCTGGCGATGCTTGGCTGTAAAGGGAATGCCAAGAAAATACATTGCACTAATTAAGGCACTCTACTCGTACTCATGCAACCAAGTGAGGGCTTATGGCGAGTTGTCATCTGAAGTGGTGACGACTAGTGGCGTCCGTCAAGGATGCCCATTATCCCCATTCCTATTCAATTTCATCATAGACGTACTAATGGACTTAACCCTATCTCACTTCAGCGACTCAGGGATTGACTTGCTACCAGGGAAGAATCTCGTTGACTTAGAATATGCGGACGATATAGTCCTTCTGGGCGAGGACTCTGACAAAATGCAGAGTCTACTGAACACCCTGAGCAACAATCTCCGT